TGATCTAAATGGAAATGGAAATGAAATACTAAGAGAATGACTCTTGGAACATGAAGAACACAAAAATAAGGTCAGTGAAAATATGGGTAAAATCCAGTCAATTCCCCTTCTCTGAAATGTGTTTTTTTTTGTCTTTTTTTTTGTTTTTTAATCATTATTTTTAAAATTTTTTTTTTCATACAGAAGACTTCATTCCAAAGCAATTGACATTGAGACGTTTTCAGATGCATTTCTAATCTCTATATACATGACTATCACTGGTCACAGTCGCCCACCTTCTGAGCTCCTCGGCATCTGAGCATGAATACAAACTCGTCAGATAGACAGCCTTCCTCTCCCACTTGAGGCTCCATACTCTGCCATCCCTGTCACTGTCCATTGTGTTGTCAGCACCCTCATCCATTCCCCCTGTCTGCCCTTCTGGTAAATCTAGTCAGCCAGAGGTCCCTGTTCCAGGAGGGTCAGCTGTTCCTCATCTACGGCAATCCATTGTCAGTATTCCTTTGGATAGAATTGGGGTCTGCTGTTCATTTTTCCAGTAGTATGTTGAGTTACTGTCTGGAAGAGCCTTTCTTTTTTTATCTTTTTGGACCAAAGTCTTCCTGTAGCTCCAGCTGGCCTGGAACTTACTATGTAGACCAGGCTGGCCTAGATATCACAGAGATCTGTCTGCCTCTGCCTCCAGCATACTGGGATTAAAGGGACATGCCACTATGCCTGGCCTATTATTTATTTTTTAAACAGGGCCACGCTAAGACAAATGCATAAGAACATAGAATCGAGACCTAGGCAGGCAGGGCTCATATACTCCAGTTCTGCCTTTCGTTGGCTATATGACTTTGGTCTTTAGTGCCTTCATCTGTAAACTAGAGATAATTGTACCTGTCTTACAAAGATGATGTAAATATTTAATGTGTTAAATAAGTGTCAGCTGTTATTAAAATATTTTAGTAAATTTTGTCTAGAAAATCACCATTTAACATTAAAAAATAAAACAGAAATAGTATTTTTTTTCCTGTTGGTACCAGAGTTTGAGCCCAGGGCTGCACAAGGCTACCAAATCTAATCCCACAGCACAAAAAGATCAATAAAAACATTTAATGCCCCCTTTCCCAATCTTCCCAAAGTTTACCCTGTTTAATGTCTTCTTTGAATTCCTTCCATAAATGGAAAAAGAAGTGCTTAGGAAGCATTGGATCTGATCTTTGGATGAAGCTTTTGTAGTGGTTGTGGAACTGAGGGCAGCTTTCCCGCAGAAAGTTGAGCCCTGGAATTGCTACCCACCCTTCTGATTCTGCCTAAGGATCTCATTTCCTGTTTGGCCTCATTTAACTCTGTCCAGACACTGAATCCAGCGATTGTGTCTTCCCTGTCCCTTGATGGTAGCCAGTCTCTGCCAGCGACAGTGCAGGAATTAGAGTTTCATATGGGTACTGGGAAGGGCAAGGTCCAGAGTCTGGACATAGTTGAGGGTTTGGAATCCATATGCCCAAGTCCTGGGGCAGCAGACAGTCCCAGAACACTTGAACTAAGCCTGAAGTTCATTCTCTCTCCATGATCAGTGTGTTGTGTGGCATCCCTTAAAATTGTCTTGTTTTCTTTACAGATTTAAAAAGAAATGATTATTCCCTGGGAAGTGAGAATTACAAATCTGGACTTGAGAAAAAATCAAAACCACCTGAGGGGATTCCAGCAGGAGAAAGAAGCAGAAGTTCCCTGGAAGACCATACACGACTGTAAAAAGTGTGACACAAGAAGTGATGATCTTAGTTCCTTTATCCGTGAACTGTACGGTGATGTACACTGATCGACCTGACAGTGATTATGTCAGAGTCTCTGTCAGTATGACCTTGCACTGTGGTCTCTCTGGAAGGTGCCTTCTGAGCCTCACCTCTTCCTGCCCAGAGGTCTCAGAGTATGATGAAAGGGTCCTCCTGGATGTTGACCTCTGCGCAGGGCATTTGGCACACATTCTTTTCTTCAGGTTCTGCATGAAGACACTGAGACGAGTCAGTTGGGAATACTGTTCCTTTATACCTCATCACTTCAGCTGGTCACTTGGAACTGTTGCCGCACAATGCTGTACTGAATCAAAGAAGCAGGGGATGAATTAATTTATTTTTTCACTGTGTCTGCAGACTCTGCCCCACTGTTATTCATGTCCTCATCTGAAGAGTATATACGTGTGTGTGTGTGTGTGTGTGTGTGTGTGTGTCTGTGTCTGTGTCTTTATACATTAAGAAGTTATTTGACTTCTCTCTGCAGCAATATAGGGTTTGAATAGCAACAACAGGGGAAACTGTGGATGAGAGTGTGCTGGTCCAGGTTGGAGCACAATCCTGTACTAACCACAAAAAGTCCATGTTTTGGTAAAATCTAGATGTGTTTGAGTATTGCCAGCAAATCATGTGATGTTTGGGCTCTTTCAGGTTCCTCTGAAAGAAAGAAAAGCAGAAATCTAAAACAAATTTCCCTATACTCTTTTATTCTTCTTTTTTTTTACACACAAAAATGCTTTATTAATACAATATGCACAAACGCTAAAGGAATAGGTTTAAATATCTATATCATAACAAACAGGTGGCAGTTTGACATCCAGGGTGGAGAGAATGCTGGAGGGGGACTGCAATGGATCAGACTCCCATGGCAGAAAGGGGTTCTTCACAGGGGAAGGAGGGTCCAGGTGCAGCAGCTTCTCAAGTCCTCTCTCCTCCTCCAGGATCATGAGAGGCACTCCACTTAAGGGGAGGTACGCAATCTGGTGTTCCTCAGGCAGGTCAAAACTCTCAAAATCTAGAGGGTTGAAGGGAAAGAACTTTTCCATTTCTGTACAGGCATCATCAGAAGCAGGAACAGAGCTTTTTGCTTTAACTGTCTTCTCGGTGATCTTTTTCACAGTGAAAGTTGGCTATTTTTGCTTCAGAGGTCTATTGGTCTCCAGTGACTTTTCTGTAGCTCTGTTTACAGTTCCCAAAGCCTTTCTGCCAGTTTTAGGTAGGGCTGGTGGAGCATTGAATACTTTGCCAACTCGTGGTGTTGAAGCCTGCGATTTCCCATCTGAGGCTTTGACACTGGAGCCCAGCTTCAGCCCATCCTTGGGAAGCACACGGCTGCCTGGTTCTCCGTTAGCCTCATCAACAAAGATCAGGGTAGCCACCCTGGATTCCTCCAGCACTCCGCCACCAACCCTTCTTTTCTTTTTTTCTTGTTTTTTTCGAGACAGGGTCTTCCTGTAGCCCCAGCTGGCCTGGAACTTGATATGGAGACCAGGCTGGCCTCAGTGTCACAGAGATCTGCCTGTGCCTGCCTCCAGAGTGCCAGGATTAAAGGCTTGAGCTACCATGCCTGGCTTTTATTTTTCTTTAATAAGAGAATAGGGATGTGTAAAACTGGAAACTATTAAGGGGATTTCCTTCCCTTAAGCTTGGGAACATTTGTTAGAAAGCTCTTCACTCTCTCTCAACACTGCATTGGATCACATCTAAGTTCTCTGTGTCCAGTCCTATGGGGAAAGGCATGTCTCAGGTGAAATGCTTTGCAGTGTTTGCCTCCTCCCACTGCAGACTTATGATGGCTTGAACACGCATGAGTGGTTCACACCATCAGAGACAGGGATGGACTGGGAACTCACTCCCCTCTGGCTCTGCAGCTCCTCTCTTATTAAGCATTCTAATTGGCCAACAGCCAACCTCCTGAACCTAAGCATTTTTACCTTAGTTTCATCTTTCGTCCTTATATTTGGAGACTTGCTTCTGAAGTCTGCTTTCAAAATCTAGATTCCTGCTTTCTTAGTCTGGACTTCAAGGGAAATACTGCATAGCAGGGTGGAAGGCAATTGTACCTGGTTCATGTGGCCGTGAGGCTTTCTCTATATGGGTTCCTTTTGCTTTTGTCACTTAGGGCTGGTAAGAGGTGGGAAACTAGGACAATTCTCTCTCTCTCTCTCTCTCTCTCTCTCTCTCTCTCTCTCTCTCTCCTCTTCTTGAGACCTACACTTGTATGTAACCTACACTCAATCCTCCTGCTTCCTAAGTACCATGATTCCAGGTGTGCTTGGGTGAAACTGTGGTTGCCATTGAAAATAAAATAAAATTTGGTTGAGAGTAGTGCTTAGCAATTTCATCTTATCTCTGATTGAGTGAAGAAGCATCTGTTGTTCTCAATTCAGTGCTGTGCTCAACTCTGGAAAGAGGCAGAGCTCGCCTATCCAAGGACCAAACCAAATGCATCAATTTGTTACCTGGAGTGAAACGTGAAAGCAGATATTTTGATTGCAAATTCCTGTGGTGTGATTTTTTTTTTTTAATTTAACGCGAAGAAAAATGCTGCAGAATACAATTTTAAAGAACTGCTTGGCAAAGCTCATGGGGATTGCTTGCTTGTGTATGAGGTCTGGCAGCCTTGACTTTGTGACTTACCACAAAAGGTGGTGGTGCTGTGAATCATTCAGTCAGTTGTCTTCAACAGGTGTTTATTAAGCACCTTCACAGAGGAGCGTCACTGATGAGGGTGCAGGAGTGAAGTTTCTAAATATTTGCCTTCAAAAAGCTTCATGCCTCATACTTCATTTGTTATAAGTTTGAATTTCTTCTAAGTCCTGAGAAATTTCACTTCTAGATAAATGTCAAATCCAGTGATGGCTCCTATACCCTGCCTGCTAAAACAGTGTATTCAGACTGGGCTAAGAGAATTGGGGTGGGTATGTAAGAAGGCATAACTAGAACTGTTTTAGGAACCCCTGAGGAAAAATGAATTGCATGATCCTTTTCTAGGCACAGAACCCCTATCACAGATGGGATCTGAATGTGAGATCCAGAGAAGAGCAGAGATCAGGGAGTTTTTGCTCAGGGCGTCAGGTGCACAGGGTCTTCCTTCCACAGGCTGGCCACCTCTGGATTCTGGAGTGATACCTGCCCCTACTATCTTATAGCTGCTTGTATCACCAAAGAATGATATTGAATATAATTTGGGATAGTTCTCATTCTTCTATTTCTGTGTAGCTTTGCAGAACAAGTGGTGATCGAGACTTCCCAATAGCCAGTGCAGTAGTTAGCGCTTTACGAACATTGTCGTTTGTGACTGTTGTCTTGGAAGCGATGGCACCTACGCCTTTGCCATGGCTTCTTGTGCTTATCCCTCATCATATTGAGCACAAAGCATGGCACATAGCGTGCATTCAAAAGGGGCTTTTCAAAAATAAAATCTTCGAATGATAGTGGATTTCATTCACTAGGTAAGACATCAGATTTACATTTTTAACTTAGAAGGAAATGACTACCAATTCCTTAAGACCCAATATAATTCTTTTGATGTCTCTCTGTTTTAATTTTCCAAGGAATAGGTTTTAACAACCTATACCTTGTCTATGGAATTCTGAACCAGTTCTTGCCCTTATCACCCTCAGTGATAGCTGCAGAGTGCAGTCCTTTACTGGTGACTACTGAAATGAGATGATAACTTCCCAGACACTGCCTAGAAATAATCATCATTTTATTACCCTTTGAAAAGAAGATTGATAGAAAAGCCGTTTGAAAGGTGGTTCATTACCATACCCTCGTACGATTTCTTTACTCGCATCTCACCAAAGCACGAGAAAGGGAGGATTACTCTGTGAGGTCGGAATTTGAAGGCTGTGTGTTTGCCCCTTTGAAGTCTTGGTATTTAATTATCTGTAGTCATTTCTTGGGCAATTTTCTAAGAAACTAGTTGAAGCTAATTTATCATAAGTTAAAGTCAAATGACAGAAAAGAGTTTTTCCCCCCTTAACAGCATTTTATTCCACAGAGGTTAGCTTCTGAAGGAAAATGAGACTTAAATAGCATTTCAAACCTCTAGCCACATGGGTGGGGACAGAGAATAGAAAAGATTCGGGAAGTCTTACTGGCTTTGCAGTTAGCACAGCTATTCTTTTTTCTTTTGGTTTTTCCTTGTAGACTGTGATGTGTGGATAAATCACTGTATTTTTGTGAAACACCCTCCTAAAATAATTAGGTATGTTGCTTAATTTCTCAAAGAAAGACACGTGGTCCTCAAGGGATCACAAACCATGGTCTCTATCATAATTTTCAGACTTTTAATATAAGTTTATAGAAATTGTTTAACCTTTCTGTTAACCCCTAACTGAAATGGAGATGAAGATACTTAACTCCTCAAATGAAGGTGAATGATAATGAGGCAGCATTTAGAAGGTCCTTTGAGAATCTCACTTAAAAGACTTCTTGTGAGCCTGGGATCTGGTTCAGTAAGTAATAAGAGGTTTTCATTTTGGTGTGATGTGATCATTATTGAGTGTTTATAGGATGCTCAGAGGACCCGTTTCCTTAAAAACACAAAAGTGTTTCTGCTATTTCTTTCTATCTGGAAGGAAAAAGCTCATGGCTGACATTTTGGTTTAAAGATTAATTACATAGTTTAAAATTGGGAAATTGACCATTTCAAAGCAGCTCCTGCTTTTTTTCTTTTTGATATATCTAGATTTACTCACCTAGTTTGTTTGCTATCCTCTTCCCTGAGAAAACATTCGAGGACAAGAAGCCAAAGCTGGAATCACCACTGGTGACATTTGCGGGGCATGAAAAGTCGAAAGAAGATAGAGAGTTTGATGTTTGCAAAGCAACATTTAAAAAAAGCTTTAATCGGCTATGGTTTAAATTTTGTCAATATGGGGCTGGTTAGTAATAAAAAAAATTTGTCTGTAGCTTGCCAACATTTTCTTTTAGCAACTAACTTCCTTGGGAACTTCCATCTTCCCCAAGGGAACTTTTTCATTGTGAACGTTTAGAAAATCTGCCCATTGAATTAGTTATAAGGCACTTGCAATTATTAGGCAGAAACTGTTCTAATGACTGTCTGAATGTGTGTATAACAGCTGCCTTTTGTTGGAGGGGTTTGGGGAGACTCTTCACTGACATCATGGGTTTGTTACTTCAGGTTTTAATGAATCTTTTGCTCTGTATCTTACTGGTAACCAAGCAACTGATCACAGAGTCTCTGGATGCTTTGGTAACAAGAAGAAACCTTCAAGGTGTCACCACGTTTTAGCATTCCTGGATCACCCTTAAAACTGTCTACTTCTAGAGGACTTCTGGAAATATCCTAGGGATGGGGGGGAAGAAAGGTGTGATGGAACACTGTTATTGAGTCCTGACTTTTATATCAGTGTTTAGTGTCTATCCTATCATAGAAATATTTTTTGAGTGTCTTATAGTGCCCAGACACTAAGATTAAAACCAATAGTTAAATATGATATATCATCAAGCTTTTTCCAGACAAATAAGGAATTTTCAACATACCAGCTTGGCCAGTGATAACAATCATTAAAGTGACAGCATCATCACTGTAGGTAGCAGATCAAGTACTACTCATCTCCTAGGTCAGAAGTTATTTCACTAAATCTAAGCAATGACTCAGTGCAGAGTCTGTTATGTCCCTTGTAGAGGTTTGAGAATTCTACTTATAAATAAGTTAGTAGCTTGACTGTAGTCATCCCAAGGAGAGCTGCAGGGGAACAGTCATAGAAACTTGTGTGGTCCTAGCCAGCACAGTTAATATTACCCTGTGATGGTTTGAAACAGAGATTTGAAAGTTGAGGTCTCACTTAGATCATCAGATAAGAAAAATCCAAATAGAGCCTCTGGCATGTTTCTTGGAATCTCCTCTACTTCTTGCATGTTACTGAGATCTCTTCTACACATCCACAGTCACCTGTGGTCATTGGAAGCTCAGAGGAGAGCCATTTCCTCTTGACAGGTCAAAAGGTAGGTGCACGATGATGGGTGTGTTCCTTTGAGTGGGCCTGGCACTGTGTCTGCTGGGAATTTTCTGCCTTCTCTTGTGTCTTTGCCTTTCTGCCCTCTTCCACCACCATTTGATACCCTTAGTGCCCTGCTGATTTATCAATACAGAGTGAAAACGTAGAACCTGTGCAACCTGAAAAGCTTTTGCCAGCCTGGCCCTCATCATGCCATGCCCCCATAGGTCTTGGAGGCTGAATTATAATGAGAAAATGGCTTGAAGAGCATGGAGTAAGGACAAAGAAAGGCAGTACACCAAACTTCTATTGGTGCCAGGTGATATTTTAGTTCATTTTCTCCAGAGGCCTGGGCCTGCCAGTGGGAGTGGAGAGGCCGAATGCTGCAATCTCTCAGCCTGATTTAGAGTAGACATCAGGGTTCTGCACAGCTCTTCCAAGAGCAGTGGGAAACCTGGGCCAGGCGGGCCGAGCACTGCTTCTTCCTTTCC